CAACTAGGCATACAGCCATACACACCTTGCAACTGATGGTTGTAGAGCCCATATGGTTCTGGAGAGGATGGAGAATCTGCAGGAGAGGATGGAGAATCTGCAGGAGAGGAGGAGGAGGAACTGTAGGAGGGGAGGGGGATCTGCCGGGGAGGGGGAAGCTGCCAGAGAGGAGGGGGAGAAGCTCAGATCCAGCCTGGGGGTGGGGGGAAACTGAAAATGGTTACAGGTCTCTCTCTCTCTCCCTCTAGTACCTGTTGGCGCCAAAACAAAGTTTCCCGCCCTTTCCTTCCCTCCCAGTTATCTGTTTCCCGCCTAAACCACCCAGCTCTGTCTAAGGCGTCCTTATTTGCCTAAGGCAGGCAGAGTGGCGCCTAGGCGGACGCCTTGGACGCCTTAAGGACTAAGGCGGACGCCTTAGACACACATGTAAGGCAAGGCCGACGCCTTGCCTCCTGGGGGCGCCCTGACGCCTAGGCGTCGCCTAAGCGACGCCTTAGGGACGCCTTAAAAACAGAGTGTCTGACACCTGACCAAACTATTGGGCAGGCTATAAAAGAGGAAACTGATGGCTAGTTTAATTTTCTGGATAACCTCAGGCATTGATCATCTAAGAAGGATGAACGCAAATATGGCAGTATTTATTTGCTAGCCAGCCCTAATCAAGATGACCCATCTTCCGTTCAATGGCTATGTGACTGCTAAGCATTAACATTTTATGTCAATTTGAAATCTTGTAGAAAATAATATGGCTATTGCAAAAATCACATCATGTACAGTGCTATACTGATGCAACAAATAATAGAAACTGAAGAATGCAATGAGTGCCTCACTAATGAACTTATATCTCTAGCGTGGACAGCGATAAGTGGACGTAATCTGAATATGAGTTCCGCATACTGTTGATTGCACATGAGAAAAGAAACAAAAAGAGCATATTGGTTAAGAAATGAAGGACTTACCCTTTTCATTCACAAATACATGCCCATTGAAGAACTCAGCAAACTCAACAACATCTTCTGGGCTCTTGAAGTTAAGGTAGAGACGAGAATATCTATGATTCTTTTGGCTGGAAACAAAAATTCAGTTAACCAACTGGAAAAGATATGGTGGCAAATAATTAAGTCGCTATTGTATCAACAACTTCTGGGCTCTTGAAGTTAAGGTAAAATCGGCTGGATAGATAAACTTTGTTACAATTGGACAAAAGAGGGTGGGAAACAAGGAACATACTATTGTTTACTTCCCACTGCTAGGTTCCAATAAGGAAGCCTTATACTTTGAGTAAAAGCAACTCAAAGACATCAAAAATTAAGGAAGAAACTACTCCCTCCGTTCCCAAATACTTGTCTTTCTAGACATTTCAAATGGACTCAACATACGGATGAATGTAGACATATTTTAAAGTGTAGATTCACTCATTTTGCGTCGTATGTAGTCACTTGTTGAAATCTCTAGAAAGACAAGTATTTAGGAACGGAGGGAGTACTACGCAAATCACCATACACAGGACTGGTAAATAAAAAGGCTGAATGCTACAAGGTAGTTTCGACTTCAAGTGTTTCTGTTTCTTTTAAGAAATTGCTCTATAACAAGCACACTATAAGTGAATTCTGACTCTTGTATCCAAAATAAGAGAAAGCAAAAAATGAACATTTTACATTTTCAGTTGCCATAAAAAACCAGTGAGGCCAGCGACAAACTAAAGAAATGGAATTAGCAGGTAGAAAGCATAGATAGTTGCATAACAAATAAGGCAACCTCTATTCTTCACTAATACTTAAGGTACAATCACTGACAAATTTGTAGTCGAAAACAAAATTACAAGCACAGATCATAACTACGATTTAACACCCAACAGTTCATTCTGGTTGAACGTAAGATGGCTATAACTGGAAACAGCAAGTGGCACCGCATTGTAAACTACAAGTCCACAGCTAGGGATAATGTGCTGCACTAGATAGCAGCAACAATTTTAAGCTTAACGTCTCAATTACGCAAATGAACATGCTGATTGCTAATAACAAAACAAACTACATCACTTATAAAAGCACACGAAATCTATGGGGAAAAACCAGAAACTGCTGGTCGCATAATTCCTAGACAAGGCCCCGATCCAGAACTAAAGAGCACTGAACCTCGCAGATACGCCAACTACAAGTCTACAACTAGGAATAACATGATGCACTAGATTGCCCAACAGTTCTATTTAAGCTAAGCATATCAATTACACAGATGGAACATGCATGCTAATAACAAAAAAAAACACTAAATCACTTAAACAGCACACTAAATCTAAACGGAAACTGCCAGTCGCCTAGCACATGATTACTAGGTTAAACAGCCACGACCCCAATCCAGACCTAAAGAGGACCGAACAACGCAGGAAGGCCAACGCACGCCCAGGGGACTCGGGGAGCGAGGGAGAGAAAACGCTGACCTGGCATTCCCGGGGCGGAAGCAGGTCCAGTCATACCGCCCAGCGAAGCGGGCGTCAACCTGGTCCACGACGGCCTGCTGCGCAATCGCCGGCGGCAGCCGCCTGAGCACCACCTTCGTGCGGTGCGCCGGGTCCTTCATGTGCGCGCGCGCCGCCAGCTCCAACTCCTCGGGTTCGAAATCCGCCCAGAAACCGGGACCCACCACCACACCGCACCGGCACAAACCCTAGGGGCCGGGTCACATCGAGGCGGGGCGGGGCGGCAGACGGGCGCGAGATCTGAGGAAGGGTTAGGGTTTGGAGCGGGGCTGGGGCTGGGGAAGGAGGAGGTCTCTCGCTTTCGTCTGCTGCTTCTCCCCCCTCTCCCGAAGTCGCGTGCGACTCTTTTCGGTCTCTGGTTGGGGTTGGGAGATGAGAAATTGGAAACTGTCGGAGATTAGGGGAAGTGGAAGAGGAGGACGACGACGAGGACGAAGCGAAAAGAAAAGGCTGACACGGGAGAAGAAGAAAAAAAGAGGAAAGGCGCAAGAAAAGATACGAGAAAAATATCAATCCTCAGTCCTTTTATTTTATCTGAATCCTCAGTCCTGATAATGTAGAATAGGTTGATGCATCAATCAAAAGAGAAAAACTGGCTATAGCATTTTACGACAAGCCCCCCCTATAGCTACATAGTGATGTGAATATGTGATGCAATTTTTGTTGGCAGTTTAGTTACATTCGAGAACGCTACCCTCCGCTATGCCAAAATTGCATAGCAGTCGGAGAAGGTTAACGACATTATTAGAAAGAACGAGTTAGAAAGTAAGCTTGCACTAGTTTCCATCACATAACAAACTCAATCTATAAATCAGTATCGAATAATGTACAATTTAGATGTGGTGCCTCCCTCTCAATACAGACAAGCACCATGAAAGCCAGGTAATTAAGGACGAGATACGCAGAGTACGGTGTCGGTCCAACCAACCAATCCGAGCATGTTGGAGGGAATCCGAAGAACGCATGAGCTCGAACTTTGCTCGAACGACATGTGACGGTGACCGGCTGATACATCTTCATCGTATATATGATTTTTTATTGTTCCATGTCAATATTATACAACTTTCATATACTTTTGGCAACTTTTTATACTATTTTTGGGACTAACATATTGATCCAGTGCCCAGTGCCAGTTCCTGTTTGTTGCATGTTTTTTGTTTCGCAGAAAACTCATATCAAACGGAGTCCAAACGGGATAAAAACTTATGGGGATTTTTTTGGAATATTTATGATTTGGGGGAGGAAGAATCAACGCGAGACGATGCCCGAGGGGGCCACGAGGCAGGGGGCGTGCCCTAGGGGGTCAGGCGCGCCCTGGGCCCTCGTGGCCACCCCGTAAGGCGGTTGGAGCCCTTCTTTTGCCGCAAGAAAGCTAATATCCGGATAGAAATCATATTAAAATTTCAGCCCAATCGAAATTACGAATCTCCGGGAATATAAAAAACGGTGAAAGGCCAGAATCTGGATCGCAGAAGCAGAGAGAGACAGAGAGACGGATCCAATCTCGGAGGGGCTCTCGCCCCTCCCACGCCATGGAGACCATGGACCAGAGGAGAAACCCTTCTCCCATCTAGGGAGAAGATCAAGGACGAAGAAGAAGAAGGGGGGCTCTCTCTCTCCCCCTCTCTCCCGGTGGTGCCAGAACACCGTCGGGGCCATCATCATCACCGCGATCTACACCAACACCTACGTCATCTTTCCCAACATCGTCATCACCTTCCCCCATCTATATTCAGCGGTCCACTCTCCCGCAACCCGTTGTACCCTCTACTTGAACATGGTGCTTTATGCTTCATATCATTATCCAATGATGTGTTGCCATCCTATGATGTCTGAGTAGATTTTCGTTGTCCTATCAGTAATTGGTGAATTGCTATGATTGGTTTAATTTGCTTGTGGTTATGTTGTTGTCCTTTGGTGCCCATCATATAAGCGCGCGAGTGGATCACACCATAGGGTTGGTTGTATGTTAATAGGATTATGTATTAGAGGGCAAGAGTGGCAGAAACTTCAACCTAGCATAGAAATTGATGCATACGGGATTGAAGGGGGACCAATATATCTTAATGCTATGGTTGGATTTTACCTTAATGAACATTAGTAGTTGCGGATGCTCGCTAATAGTCCCAATCATAAGTGCATAGAATTCCAGGTCATGGATGACATGCTAGCAGTGGCCTCTCCCACATAAAACTTGCTATCAGTTTAGTAAAGTAGTCAATTGCTTAGGGACAATTCCGCAACTCCTACCACCACTTTTCCACACTCGCTATATTAACTTTATTGCTTCTTTATCTAAACAACCCCTAGTTTATATTTACGTGCTCTTTATATTCTTGCAAACCTATCCCGTTACAACTACAAAGTACTTCTAGTTTCATACTTGTTCTAGGTAAAGCGAATGTTAAGCGTGCGTAGAGTTGTATCGATGGTCGATAGAACTTAAGGGAATATTTGTTCTACCTTTAGGTCCTCATTGGGTTTGACACTCTTACTTACTGAAAGAGGCTACAATTGATCCCCTATACTTGTGGGTTATCAAGACCTTTTTCTGGTGCCGTCGCCGGGGAGTTATAGCGTGGGGTGAATATTCTCGTGTGTGCTTGTTTGCTTTATCACTAAGTAGATTTTTTTTTTGTTGTTCCAAGTTGTTCTCTATCTTTAGTTATGGATATGGAACACGAAATACCACAAAAATTAGGTGTACTTGCTACTCATAGAGATGGGGAACCTCCTAAAACCCTTGGTGCTGGTTATGTGAAAAATATTATGTACTACTTTAATAATCCTGAGAAAACCCCATTCAATTATGTAATGGGAGACACATTGGATCAACGTGAATACTTTAGGGATTATCGCTTGACTCAAAAAGGGAAACTATTATGGGATCAAATTCATATGTTGCATTGGTATGCTCGGGAACTATGCTTGAGATATGATTATACTTGTTGCTCTAGGATGAAGGCTCCACACCTTCCCTTTTCATGCAAATTTAATGATAATGAAACCTTAGCTTCGTATGATAATGTTATATATGATTACTATGTTGTGGAACAAATAAAAGAATTTGTCGGTGTTCCGGAAACGGGGGTCCCCAGACTTGCTTGCCTGCGGCCCATGGCGTGGCTGCACCAGTGGCCCAGTATGGCCCGTCTTCGTCAACCAACACTCAAGACCCTCACGAGGGTCCAAGCCTCGCGGGGCGGACGACACAAGGCCTCCTCAGAAGCGGCCTCACTAGGCAGGCTCGCGAGGGAGGCGGAGAGATCAAGGCAAGGGGTACCTCGTGAGGTTCCCGTGACGCAAGCCATGACGACCAAGGCCAGGCGGGTGCCATCGCGTGCAGTGTCCTCGTTTCCTCTTTGGTGCTAAGGGGGCAAGCGCAGGCGCGGAGTACCGAGGCATCAGGCAAAGGTTTTCATGTCGATGCAACAAGACCAAGACCAGCGGGACGGCAGGACGGAGGTCATCATGGAGCACAAGACGGCGTCACCACCAGCGCCTTTGACAGGCGAAGACCACCTTTAGTCAAGATAGCTTGTACTAGTTGTACCCCTTCAAATTGGCCGTTGTTGGATCCCTTCCCGCTCAATATTTGGGGAGAGGATCAGGGCTATAAATAGGACTAGCCACCACAGTAGGAAGAGACGAAGAAACCAGAACAAGTAGAGCAACCCACCAAGCACAAGAACACCTCTCCTAAGGAGGATGTTCTTCCCTTGTACTCTTCATCATCAGCCCACGATGCAATCCACCACCACCACACAGGAGTAGGGTATTACACCACAACGGTGGCCCGAACCGGTATAAACCTTGTGTCTCTTGTGTTGTGAGTTCATCGAGCTAAGTTTAGGGATCGCGGTGAGGCTGAGAGCAAGATTCGGTAGGGGAAATCTTCGTGCGCACCCCAGTGTTCGAACCTCAAGGGTTTTGCCAGAACCCGAAATCCGACAGAATTCGTTGCTTTTATGGGTGCTTATGAAATTGAAATATTTGTTTAAAGAGTGTGAAAATCTTGATGCTGCTGTTTATAGACCTGAATTTTTTTGCTATACTTAAATATTGCTATGAGAATTATGAATTCAATTCCGATATTGATGCTTTTATTGAGAGAGTCTCCGCTGTCCAATAAGAGACTAATATTTTGCAGGAGTCTATGGAAGAAGGAATTGATGAAACTGTGGGCTCATTGGATGAAAAAGATGATGAGGAGAGAGAAGAACAAAAGGAGGAAGGGCGGATTAGCTACCCGTGCCCACCTTCTAATGAGAGTAACTCTTCAACTCATACATTGTTTAATTCCCCTTCGTGCTTACCGAAGGATGATTGCTATGATGATTGTGATGATCCCGTTGATTCTTTTGAAATGTCCATTTTTGATGAACTTGATGCTTGCTATGCTCATGGCCAAGATGCCAATATGAATTATGCTTTTGGAAATGAATTTGCTATAGTTTCTTATGTTAAACATGAAATCTATAATACTTAAATAGTTCATCCCCACTAACCTATTTCTCTTGACATGCAGGCCATCCACATCAGCAGCACTGCCCCGTCAGCGTTTAATTAGAGGCTTACAAGTGGGACCCATCGTACCAAAGAACAAACATGTTGGCTTCAGTTACTGCACACGCCGACTTCAGTTACTCTTGGTAGGACCAGCCAGTCAAGCGCATGACATGTTGGCTCCAGCCCGGCCCATCGGCCTCTTTTTCTTTTTTCCCTGCGAGAACGCCCCTGCCCAGCTTTCCTCCCCCTTCCCCTGGCCACTCCCTCCTCTCCGCCACGCCTCACTCCCAAGCCGGCACCCACCCTTCCTGCTGCCGCACACCACTCCTTCCGTGGGGGCCGCGTCAGCAAAGGGCCCCGGTGATCACTGCAAGTTGTTGCGCCTTCACCCCCGAGCTTTGTAGCGTTGCCTGGCCCGACAAGTTCAAGCCGGACTTGCCTCCTCGCTACGATGGCACCCCCGGCCCCGCGGAGTTCTTGCAACTCTATGAGCTGAGCATCGAGGCGGCCAACGGCGATGAGAAAGTCATGGCGAATTGGTTTCCCATGGCGCTCAAGGACGGCGCCCGCTCATGGCTCTTGAACCTGCCTC